TGTCCGTCGTCTTCTTCACGGCCTTCTTCCCGGCCTTCTTGTCCGTCGTCTTCTTCACGGCCTTCTTCCCGGCCTTCTTGTCCGTCGTCTTCTTCCCGGCCTTCTTGTCCGTCGTCTTCTTCACGGCCTTCTTGTCGGTCGTCTTCTTCCCGGCCTTCTTCACGGCCTTCTTGTCCGTCGTCTTCTTCCCGGCCTTCTTGTCGGTCGTCTTGTCGGTCGTCTTGGCATTCTTCTTCACGCCTTTCTTCCCGACCTTCTTGTCGGTCGCCTTCTTCACGACCTTCTTCACGGCCTTCTTGTCGGTCGTCTTGGCATTCTTCTTCACGACCTTCTTCTCCGTCGTCTTCTTCACGACCTTCTTGCTTGTCGTGGCAGGCTTGGTGGTCGTGGCAGACTGCTTGGTAGTGGTTTTAGCGGTCACAGATGTTACAGTCGACTTCGTTGTCACAGGCTTGACCGACGTCACAGCGGGAGGGGCGGCGGCATTGGACGACGGAGCGACGGTGGTATTCTTGGACTTCAAGATGCGCTGTTGTTCCTCGAGTGCCATGGACGTTGACGCATCCTGGACTGCTCGAATCTTGTCGAGGGATGTGTCTGCATGGACACTCACCAGCACGAAGCAAAGGGCCAGCGCCAGGAGGAAGGCAGTGACTCCCTTCATCTCGCGACTGCGTTGAATGGAGAATGGGGCCACTCGTGGCGCGACGGTGGGCGACGACCGACGACTCGGTGCCACACTTGCTCTTCGTACGTTGTCGTCGTTGTTTGTTGGTGAAAGTGCACTATTTTAAGGAATTATTTTCAACGCATCGAGCAAATCCGCTTAAATAATGCAATGTGATTGGCCAAATTTGACAAAGTTACCTTCATAAGTGCCAGGCTGCCCGAACTTAAACAACGTAAACCATACAATCGGGCAGCACTTACGATTTGACCACCACTGAATCAGTGAGACGACGCGCACGTGCCTGCATGTGCGGCGGTGGCTCGCGGTGGTTGCTTTGATGCATGCGCTGGAAATGTGTGAGATGGCATAGAAAGCATCTTCACAATGAACAAACCCGAGCCGCGCGGATCGCAAGGTAAGGCTGACGTGTGCGGAACCTGACGCCACTACCTCGGCAGACGCACCATGGATTGATTTAGCTCCTCCCATGAAACAACGTCGGAACTGCTTGGTTACCCTAAATAAGTGCAATGATATTGGAACGTTTCATTCACCACATATGGGAGTTTTTCCTTGCGATGGAATTTTGGGCAATCTTGTTTCGGTAGAATTTTACATTGGCTGAAGATGATTCCACCAAATTTTACGAAATCGAACAAGCGTTTTCACGGTAATTGGAATAGGGTCAGGAATCGAATGGACAATACTTGATCACGAAGAATTGGGCCAATACGATCCACATCATTCCAGTCGACGTCTCGGAATACAATCGTGATTGTTGACTTGAATGCTCTGCACAGAAGTTGCGAAATTTCCAAAATCGTGAAAACGGTCACAGGATTGCATTTTTAGATCACAAAATGCCAGCAATGTACTTTATATGGCAATAAACGTGTTGAAAACTCGCCAATGACTTTCACCCGGAATTGGTCACAGGATTTCTTTTTATATCAAAATACCAGCAATGTACTTTATACGGCAATAAACGTGGTGAAAACTCGCCAAAATGCAACTTCACAAACTCCCAACGTGCGACGACAAGGCAATATTCCAACGACTGATGGGATAAGGGGCGTCGGGGTTGGGGGCGGCCCTTCGACCTCTCGGCAACACGCTGGCACGTCGCTGTTCGTTCGCACGAAACCCATTTGAACAAGTCGTCATCGAGTGAGACGATGGAGGCATTGGCTTCTCGCTCCGGGGTCCAAAACTCAAAGGGAACGAGCCGACCTCGCGTCCGAAATGTCCTTCCGTCGCTCTAGTTTCTGCGGACGTTGTGTGTGTGTCCATCGTAAAGCTGCATGCCGTCCTCTCTTCCTGCCGGACCAACTACCCTGTTCTCACCACCACATTCCTTTGCAAATGCAGGATTCAACATGGTAGTTGACGTTCCGAACCATATACGACGTCGTGCGCGTCGGACGTGCTTGCAACTCAACACGCACAGGATGGAATGTCGGGCAAAGTGACCGTGATGAAAGGCGCAATCACGCATTCACGGGGGAGACGCAGCCCCTTATTAGGTCGCCTTTTAGGGCCACTTTATCTAGTTCGAGCATGGGGACGTCGGCAAGTTTGAGGTTCTTGAGCTTGACCCGCCGAATGGCAGGAACAAACGAGCATTCTCGCAGGTCGCGGGCTTCTTTGAGCTTTGCCAGTCGCTGCCATCGGGTTTGAAAATAGTTGGGTTGGTAGAGTCGTGCCACGACCGGGTTGACCGCCACGTCTTTCGACGGGGGCAATGGGTCCGATTCCATCGACCGACTGCGCGGGATCGGTTTGGGCGGGAGCGCCATGGATACCCCCGTTGGACTTGACACCGAGCCCCCTTCCTCAACCAGTTTGACCTTCGTGGCTCCGTCCAGCTTGTCAAACACAAGCAGCGCCTTTTTCTACGATTCGCCGTGTGAAAATCCACGCCGCGCGCCATTGCCACGCACCGTGTCAATCGTATGGAATGCCCAGAAACACTTGCGCGACATGGCGCGCACGTCCGCACTGGCGTCGCAGAGCCCGAGCAAGAGGACTTTGGACAAGTGGTTGGGGACTCCATGGCTACACACGCATCCGCGTCACCGGAGATATCCACAGCATGCATACCGGTGCATGGACCGAGGGTTCCACTCGGTACAGATCATTGCCATGTATGCCATCGCGTGTTTGCGCAGGGTGCCATTGCGACTTGCACACGCTTCAACGAGTCTGCCAGGGCCGCGCGGTTCGAACACTGCCATGAACGGTCGGGAACGTACTTGGGAATGGCTGCGTAGTGGCCGATACGAGAGCTCTTGAGGACGCTTTGGATGCACGCATCGGCCGCCGACGCAATCACCTGTAGTGCGCGTCATTCAGACCAGAGGGAACTCGAAGGAGTTGCCAATGCGTCGCACCTCGATCGTGACGACGAGTGCCTTCAAGAGCGCGGAGAGGAAGACGTCGAGGAGGGGATGGAATGCCGCGTCCTTCATGTTGTTTGCCAGCACCGAGATCGTCCGCGACGCCTCTTTCGACACGCTCGATCGAATGTCCATGACTTGGTCGGCAATGAGGTCGCGGAGTTGATGGATTCCGTTCACAAACCCAGGCGAGCTATGCGCTCTTTCACTCTTTGCCCATTCTTGGATGAGCGCCAGAGCCTACGCACACAGCAACTTAGCACGACGAGCACGAATGCGGCACCGACTTGAATGCGCTTCATCCAGTCCACATGGGCTTGGAGGTTTTGTTCGATTGCTCTGACGTTGTACGGGCCCTGCGCACACGTCGACGCCGATGAGGACTGCGAGGTTGCCGGAACGACGAAGCGGTCTACCTCCTGGATGGCCATGGCGACTGGACAGCGGGGAATTCGCGAATGACGTGCTGAGTGTGATGCGTGCCTACCATGTTCACGGGGGAGGCAATTATTCCCGCCGACCTGCTTGGCGTGATTGGCATGTCGCGCATGTTCGATTTTCGGGCGCCACCAAATCAGAGGCCATAACGGACGCCACCCGCTCCAACCGGCAGCTATGCCATAAGCAACGGACGCGGCAATGAAATTTTCACCTCGCGTGGTTGGGTGCAGTTTTTGGACGACCACAATCTCCACGCAGTCGGCACTCTTTCTGAAAGTCCTTCACACGGAGCGTCGAGGGTGGTGGGGCGCCGCTGGCAAAGCGACGTAGAACCATGCAGGAACAACATGTCGAATGGTGCAGCGCCGCAGGTGATAAGTGCAACAGCACGGTGCACTGGGTTGCGCACCTTTGTGTCATCGAGGGACACGAAGTCGCCTGTTGCTGAGGCGGCGCCTTTCTCGTTGGGCTTGTCATCCTGGGGGAAGCAGCACACTCGAAACGTGTAGCACGAGCTTATTTCAGATACGACTTGGGCAGGAAGCAAAACAGTCTGCACAACAGATACCGCGACGCCCCCAGCATGTTGCTATATACTCTGTGGCAGCTCCCCAGACGATTCCCACAGGGGGGCTGCCTGCGTGTTGGGCTTGTGGCCACAACCCCTTCGTACCTGTTCCGTCGTTGTCTTGTTGGCGCTTGCGATAACTTGATGCGGGCAGCGCCACCATGGCCAAGAATATGCGATGCAGTTGTCCGAACGCAAACACTGTCGTTCCATGGGAGGAATCGGGGGGACGAGGGCCGAGAATAGCCGCAGCTGTGCCAGGAGGTTTCGATGGTTTGAATGCACTACCACGTACACCACCTAGGGTGTCAATCTGGCAAGTTGTTGGCCGCTCGGACAGCACTGGTGTAGCGGACCGTCGCTATACCGACCATCGCGACAACCAGTTCGATCGCATCAACGCGTCCAAGTTGGTCGCTTGACAGATTCGAGATGGCAGCCACAGCACCACGTGGTGTTTCTGTGGGAGGATGTCGTTGAGGCTTGTGGCACGACGATCCGTTGGCCCACCGGACGTGGTCAATGGGCTGCGAAGTTGGCCAAGGCAAGGGTGTCTGTATGGCTGATCCATCCAGTGGACGCAGCGATTTGGCGAATCTTTTGCTGCTCCACACGTTTGTTGTTGTGTTGTTGTATGGTGCTTCGTCCCGCAAAGTCGACCTGATCACTCCATGATACCTCTCGCTACACCGTCTTGCTCGAGCTCGGCCATGGTACACACCACGACGCGAACAATGGCGATCCGCCAGTATCCACGATGAATCGTGCTGTTTGATGGATGTACACGCCTATCTTTGCCCCTCAACGACAAGAATTCCAATCTTCACACAATTCAATTGGTGTGTCCCGGAGCAATCGCCCGATGGCGATCGCCGTTCGCATCTTGCTATCTCTGTTGCTCTTGGCCGTCTGGATGGCCCAAAGCGACATTGTCCGCGCCAACGTCGACTCGGTGGACGAGACGGTGGCGCGCAGAGAGACCAAGCCGGACAAGTATCGCCGCCTTTCCAAACAACAAGTTCTACCTATGCTCGTTCCGACCGTAGCGGATCAAGTGCAAAGGATCATCGACTCCATCAGAAATATCGGAGACAAGTCCAAGATGAAACAACAGCTCCCCAACCTGCCGTCTCATGGCAGGCAGGGGGCGAGTCGTGCCAAGCTTTCCACGGAGACGAAGCACAAACACCCACCACGCCACCACCAGCCACGCCGTGGCAACGTCCGCGGTCGGATTTAAGAAGCCGATGTTGCATGCGTGTAGGGGCCACCGGGCCGGGATCATTCGACAAGTCGTAGTATTGCACGAGTTTAATATCCATGGCACTGACTGTTGTTGCTCGATCGAAACACAAACTAGTGAGCGCAGCGAACGCCCCCATTAACTCGAAAGCCGAGCTTTGCTTCGCCCTATCGACGTGGACATGCTGCGGCCCGTTGTCCACTCGACCCTGCATGCAAGGTCACATTGTTGCAAAACCCGACGAAAGGTGCGGACGTTCTCGTCGTCATGACTTGGCGTGGTTGGCGTACTGGGGCCTCGAATTTTTGGCCGCCGCCAAAGCAGCGGTCGTGGCGGACTGATGTTGCCTGGTGCAACCAGATATACCCTGGGCATCGAAAGCGGCGAAGGAATTCTCCAGACGGGACTGGTCCGAGGCGACGACGGTGGGGGCGCAGTGAACTCCCTGACAATGCTGACGTCCCCCCAAAATACCGACCACCTATCACATGCTGTACTTCAATGCCAAGGCAGAAATGTCAATTCTTTTGACCAATTGAATGTGTAGTTCGACATAGAACTGTGATTGACTGACTGAAATTCTCCTTATTATAGCCAATCAAGTTGGGCCAACTTGCAAGACTAAACTATGTCTTTGACTCTGCCTCGATTCTCGTCAGGACGATAGATGTCGGCTTTTTCCGGGGTTGAGTGTAAGGGGGGGCGATATGGTGACGAAATCCCTCGCTTGGAGTCCTTGGACCCGCTGAGGCACTGGCGGGGTAGCACGGAAGCTGCCGAGAATCGTCAGGGGATCCGCCACCGTGTAGTTTGCGCTTGACGACGCGATCGTACGATGGACCAGACGCGCTGGATTCGCGTGGTGCTGGGTGTGTTTCGTTTGTCATGGAGGCAACGTGGCGACCTGCTGCATGTTGAAAGTGTGTAAACGATCCACTGGGGCTTACGCGTCCCACACGATGCAGTACAAACAACAAATCCTGGCGAACATTGGCCTTCCTCCTGTATTCGTTACGACCATTGTGCTGTTTGATGGATGTAGAGGCCCTCGTCTGCCCCGAGAATTCCATTATCTTTACACAACTCAATTGTTGATATCCCGGAGGAAGCGACCGATGGCCATCGTTGTTCGCATCCTGCTGTCTCTGGCGCTCTTGGCCGTCTGGATGGACCCGACCGCGGCCGACGGGAGCCAGGTCGACTCGGTGAGCGAGCCATTTCACGGCGAAATTAGCAGAGGGGTCGAACGAAGAGACGAGGCGGCGGCCCTCGAAGTGACCAAGCCGCCCAGGACCCGCCGACTTACCAAGAAAAAGGCGCTCAAAACCGCCGAGGAACCGCAATTCATCCAGTACTGGTGGATGAATTGCTCAACTATCAAAACATATCATCGACTCCGTCGGAGGTGGACAAGGTAGCGACGTAAGAAACACGGATCAAAAACAGCTCCCCGATCTGTCCAAACTGCCGCCTCAAGGGCCGCCCCAGCGGCCACCCCATGGTTCACTCCCCGGGCGACCCCAAGGTCCGCCCCATGGCAGGATTGGAGCGAGTAGTGTCAAGCTTTCCACGGAGGCGAAACACAAAAATCCACCACGCCACCACCAGCCACGTCGTGGCAACGTCCGCGGTCGGATATAAGAAGCCGATGTTGCAATTGCACGGACTGGTGCTCGATCGAAACACTAGTGAGTGCAGCGAACGCATCCGTAACTCGAAAGCCGAGCTTTGCTTCGCCCTATCGACTTGGCCATGCTGCGGCCCGTTGTCCACTCGACTTTGCATGCAAGGTCACATTGTTGCAACACCCGACGAAAGTTGCGGACGTTCTCGTCATCATGGCTTGATGTAGTTGGCGTACTGGGGCCTCGAATTTTTGGCCGCCGCCAAAGCAGCAGTCATGACGGACTGATGTTGCCTGGTGCAACCAGATATACCCTGGGCAACGAAAGCGGCGACGCAATAACGCTTGCCGTTGGGTAAAATATTTGGAGTGGCTATCTCAACGCACCATGAATGCCCATGACTGTAAAGGATCGAAAGTTGGCGCAACCATCGTGATAGTCCCT